GGCCTGCTCGCTTATTTAGCCTACTCGCTTATTAACTACGTTAATAGTTTATTATACCTATATTATATATATATTATAATTTTACTATTTTATTTTTATAATTTAGCTTTAACTAGTAATATAATTAAAAATATAATAAATATTAAGATAACTATTTATATAACTATTAAAGTAGTTATTGAGGCACTTATTAAAGTAAATATTAAAGTAATTATAAAGCTTATAATAGTCTAAAAAATAAGTAATTCAAGTTAAGGAAAATATTAGAGAAGACTAAATATAACTATAATTAATAAGTATTATAATAAACTATATTACCTAAAAGCTTATAAAATAGACTAATTACTTATTAATATATATCTTTAAGGTTACTATCAATAAATTAATAAGCTCTGATATAACTACTAAGTAATACCTCTTATGTTATCGGGTAGCTAAAAGTTGTGTGAGGAATTGCGTAGCTGCAGGGAAAATTATGGTAGGGAGTAGAAGCATGACGAATAATTGTATAGATAGTAGTAGAATGGCCTATGTTGATGAGTCTTATAATTATATTTTCTCGAGTTAGAAAATAAAAGGAGGCAGGAAGGTTAGATTGTGGTGGAGGACGAGGCAGCCGCGGCGGTCGTCGAGGTGAAAGTAGTGTGGTAGCGAGCATGGAGCCAGGGCTTCTCATACAATTCTGCTTCATTGAACCAAAGTACAAGAGACTAGCCCTTTTTGCAGATTACAGACTCCTTGACCATCAATGAGGGACCATGCTTCATCGACAATCAGAGGCATCGTAGATGGAACTAGACGTTTTTCGATAGCCACTAAGCAAAGAGTGTTTCTACAAGAATTAGAGGTGGAGCCTGATAGGATGGAGGCGAGAGCAGTGTAATGAAGCACAAGTACGCAAGTGCCAACTGGGGAGACACGACGAGTCTCATCTAGTTACCATCCCCACTATGGCTTGAGACAATAGCAACATTTTATTTTGCAATGCTGTAACAGTAATCCGTACATTGACGCCTGGATGCTTCACCGCAGATCACCCTGCTTACAGCTTCAACGCACGGGAGCAGGGGCGGCTTCGGGATCTTTCGCCAGCAGCGCTTCAATCTCGGCACCCCTTTTACGCCTCTCATCCAAAGATAACTCGTCCTCTGGGGCTGAGGACCATCCCAGTCGCAGCTCTGGGTATTGGAGCGGAACCTCGTCACTCTCTCGAGGCAGCCCATCCAGATAAATGGGCCAGGGCTTGCCAAGCCAGCCATTTCGAGACTCGTGGTCGCGACGCTGCTGCTCCGTCAGAGGGTGAATCAAGACACTGGCGGACTGTCAGTACCGTACGAAACAAGGTGCGGATGCAGATCTATGGCCAACTCACCTTAGGTTTCCGCGGTTTGTTGCCAGATAAAAAAAGACGTCAGAGAATGACGAATCAGGAACCCAGACTACAAGACAGTCAGCTTTTACATGGAAACTTTGGCCGAGAACGCCTTTATGGCTGTGCGCTCACTCTCGTATGATCCGGCGGGATGCGGCCCGATGGGATATTCATTGACGCGATGCAGCGGCACCGCGACAAACGCGCCTACGAATGATTAGTTGGCGAGTCTAAACAACACCCCGAAATCGACTTGCCATCGCGACGAAGTTTCAACACGGCATCGCGGAGCGCCAAGGCAGCGGCCTTTTCAGTCGGCGATTGAAGCAGAAAGTAAATGTGAAAGTGCCACTCCCTGGTGCGACTTTGCACCACGGTCTGGAGGTCCTCTTGAGGAACTGGCGCGATGGGCTTGATTTGCGTCATTGTCAATAATACGTCTCGGCCGTTACCTAGCCCCGGGGGTTCGAAGTTGAGGAACTAGGTTTGCTGCGATTCCAAATGCCGAGGCCACTTATCAGATGGTAACAAGAACTTTTGCGAGCACGCCACTTCTGACTCGTGTTGCGGGGTCCCCGCGACAACTGAGCTAGGCAGATTACTAACAGGCACCGTATCATAGCAGTTAAACAAAGTACTTTTTTATATATGAGGCTATATAACGCCTGGATTCACGCTGGTGTGCTTGTACTCCGTACTAGCGCCTGGTTGCGTGGAGAACCGCTACTTGCGTTGAATGAGTGCGTCGAAAGTAAGAGTTGTTGAAGCCGTGGTAGTAGGAGCGTGAGTGGGCTATAGTAACCACTTAAGTACTATAACGCTAGCCACTAGATATTAATTAAGTTAAGGAAATGGTACTTACTTTAGCCTATAATTTTCATATAAAAGTAGATACTTTTTTCCTAAGACCTTTTATTTTAGAATAAATAAAATATTATAAAATTTATTTTATTAAAAATCTTATTTTCTTAATTACTAATTATTTATATTTTTGATTAATTTATTAGTTAATAAGTTAAAATTTTAAAGATTTTAGTTATTAAAAATTATAAGTAATTATAGTTTTTTTAAAAAAAAATAAGGTATATTAATTTTAATACTTAATATAGTTAATAAGTAAGTAAGTTAGATAAGTAAGTAAGCTATTCTACTAAGTTTTACTATCTTTTATCTTAATATATATATTACTTAATAACTATATATAGGAAATATATTAAAAAAAATAAAAACTATTTTTATTTTAGAAGTTAAAAAAAAGACATTATATTAAGTTATAAAAAAGCTACTTTAATTTATAATATATTATAACTATATAACTATATAAGTATAATATATTAGTTAAATATTATAATAAGATTATATTATTAATTTAAAGAAATTTACTAACTATTAGGGTCTTAGTAACCTACTATAAGGACATAGGCTACTACTAACCGCCTAATATAGACTACTACTAGTATTAGGAGGGCTTAGTTATATAAAGAGTATATAAGTACTTAACTATATTATTAAAGTAAGTAAGCTTTAATAATATAATAATAATTCCTACTACTATCTATACCCTACCTAAGTATATAGTAAAATATAAGTACTCTCTTTATTATAACCTTATAAGATTATTATTCCTTAACCTTATTTAATAGGTAAAGAGACTATAATAAATTTATTATAGTACCTAGAAATAGGAGATAAGATTTTATAAGTAAAGATATTATTATAAAATAAGATCTTATTTATAAATTAAAGGAGATTATATAAAATATAAGAAAAATATCTTTTCTTATAAAGATATTAATAAACCTAAGAATAATTAATAATATACTTATAAAAGATAAGTTATAAAGGTATTTTATATAAATAGTAAATATATAATAATATAAGAAAATAATAAAGTTATTATAAAAGATAAAGAAAAGAGAAAATATTAAACTAAGACTAGACCTTAAAGTATTACTTAAAAAAGAAAAATAAAAGAATATAATAATAATATAACTACCTAATACCTAGTTTAAAGGGAGATTATATATTAAGTATTAGAATTTCTTAATAATATTATAAACTTACTTTAAAGCTAATATAGATAATTATATAAAAGATAAAGAGAAAGTAATATATATAGTACTTTATTTTTAAAGAGAGGCCTAGAAGTAATAAAGTAGGTACTTTAAAGATACCTTAAGTAAAAGATATAAAAGATTTACCTAAGATAAATTTTATACTTAATATAGAAATAAGCTAAGAAGTAAAGATATTAAGGCTTAAAAAGCTATATAATTACTTATTATATATTAATAGAAAAAATTAAAAATAATTAAGGAGTATTTATATTATTTTAAAGATATTATATTAGAATTATTAAATATATTAGTACTAAGTACTAAAATAATATAAGTAACTAAATATATATAAAAATATATAAAGATAGCCTTAAGTAGTAATAATATACCTATTATATAGAAACTATTAGAATCTTAAGTAGAGAATATAAAGAGAGTAGTAAAGATAATAACCTATATAAAAAGAAATAAGGTAATAAGACTACTACTAGGGGTACTATAAGGACCTATAATATTATAAGTAGGTAATAATAATAGTATAGGTTACTTTAAGTATAAAACTATAAGGTATATCTAAAGAGACTATTAGGTATTTTATTATATTATTTACTAATATTAGTTATATATAATAATAAGGTATACTAATAAGAACCTAGTATTATTTAAGTAAATAGTAAGTAATAAACTATTTATAATATTACTAAATAATATATTTATAAAAAGACTAAGGTTAGAGGAATTAAATTAATAAGAAGTCTATTATTATCTATACTTAAAAAAAGAAATTATAATAAAAATATAATAAAGATATAGCTAAGAAACTATATTAATCTTTTTAAATATAAAAAGTAATTTTAATATAATAGATAAAAGTCTAGTAATTATAGATTAAATTTAAGAGTTAGATCTTATAAACTTACTAAGTAATCCCCTTAAACTAGTAAAGTTATATTAAGTATATAAATAAATAATAAAGATATTATAGATTATAAATAACTTAAGAATTAAGTAAGAGTAATAAATACCTTTTATAGTTATAAATAACTTAGAGTAGGTAATCTTAAGACTATAGTAATATATTAAAGAAGATATTATATAAAAGTATAATAAAAAAAAATAAAACTTCTTTATTTAATAAAGAGATATTAAGATAGTTTTAAACCTAAAAGAACTTTAAAAAGTAATAAAGGATATAAGACTATATATAATTATAACTAAGGGAATAGAAGGGTAAAGGCTAAAAGGAGGTAAGAGTATAGTAATTTTATAAGAATATTATAACTTTAAGTAGGTATTTTTAGTAGAGGAGGTAATAAAGCTACTAACCTTTAATAGACCTATATATATAATAGACTTAAAAAATAAGAAGATATTATTATAAAGACTTATTTATATTTTTTTAATAAAGAAATTAGATAAATTTTATAAATTTATAAATAAAGACTTAAAGAAAAGTTAAATTTAATAGTCTATAAGCCTAGTAAAAGTGCTTATACTTTTTATATTAAAGAAAAAAGAGAAGTTATATTTATATATTAACTATAAGGGATTAAACTAAATAACTTATAAGAACTAAATACTATTATTACTAATTATAAAGATCTTAGACTAAGTTAAAGAGGTAAAGATTTATATAAAGTTAGATATAAAAGATATATATAGATAGTTATATATTTATAAAGGTAATAAATAAAAGATAGTATTTTATTATTATTATAGATACTTTAAGTATATAGTTTTATTATTTAGACTAATAAGGGTATTAATATTATTTTAAGAATATATTAACTATATATTATATAAAGAAATTAACTATATTTATATTATATATTTAGATAATATCTTAATTTTTAATAAAGATATTATAAAGTATATATAATATATTTAATAGATATTAGTAAGGCTAGAAAAAGCTAAACTATACCTTAATATTAAGAAATATAAATTTAAAGTATTAATTATAAAATTCCTAAGGTTTATAATAAAACTAAGGAAAATAGTTATAAATTAGGAATATATTAAAGCTATAGTAAGCTAGTTAGAACCTAGTAGTATAAAAGAGGTTTAGTTATTTTTTAGGTTTATAGGATTTTATTAAAGATTTATTAAGAACTTTAATAAGATTATATTATTACTAATAAAAAAGATAAAAAGAAATATAAAAAGGAGGTTTTAGCTAGATATTAAAGAGCTTAAGGTATTCTTAAAGCTAAAGATAGTATTTAATAAGGTACTAATATTAATATAGTTTAACCTTAAAGTACTAACCTAAATAAAAATAGATATATTAGACTTTATAATTAAGGTAGTTTTATTATAGTTATAAAGAAGATATTAGTACCTTATAATATTTTTATTATAAAAACTCTATAATATAGAATTAAGATATTAAATACTAAATATAAAGATATTTATAATTTTAACTACTTTTTAATAATAAAGATATTACCTAATATACCTAGCCTAGACTATTAATATTATAATAAATTACCTAAACTATAACTACCTAATAAAAAAGAAGAACTTAACTTACTAATAAGTAGTTATATTAGATAAGTTATTATTATTTAACTTTAAAATTACCTTTAGACCTAGAAAAGTAAACCTAATTAATATATTATTATAAAAAAGAGATTATAATAATAATAAGAAAATAAAGGTATAAGAAAGTAATATAATCTTAAGGTTTTTATAATACTTTTATAAAAAAGGAGATAATAAGGAAAAGAGGCTATTATAAGCTAGACTAGTAAAGATAGTAGTAAGACTATAAGAGGAAGTAGTAAAAGGGTTATAAGGAGGGGGAAGTAAGGAAGAGAGTATAGTTAAAGAGGACCTTAAGATATCCCTAGTAAATAAAATAAGAAAATACTAATAAGAGGATACCTTTATAAGGATAATATAAGATAAGATATAAGAGAGTAAAAAAGATATAATAACTATATAAGAGAGATATTAGAGTATTAGTAATAACTAACTTATATATAAAAATAATAAGGTATATATATTTATAAGGATATAGGTAAAATCTTATAATTATATTATAATAACCTTATAATAAGATATTAAGAGATATATAGAATAAAGAAGTAAATAAGATAGTAGTTCTTTTAGTAATTACTAAAAAAAAATATAATAATATATATTAAGATATATTATATTTATTAAATTATAAAAAGAAGGTAATATTAACTATATAGTTACTTTATAATATTACTAATATTAAGTTAACTATTTAAGGAGATTATAATAAATATAATTACTAGCTTATTAGAAACTTAAAAAGACTAAAGAAGGTAAAATACTATTTTAGTTATTATAAATAAGCTTAGTAAGTATAATATTTATATTATTATAAATAAGAATCTT